CTCACCACAGTTGTGGTGAACGATTAACAGAAAGCTGAGATAAGAATAACCTATTGCATGTTTCCAGTGTTTCTGCAACTTTATTTGAAGTTACAGGGGAGTCAAGGAAATGCACTGCTGAGGAATTAAACTCTCATGTCACCAGTGTATTTGTTTCTACTACTTAAAGATGAGATGAGCATGGAGCAAATATAAGAAGGTCCTTCTTGCTCTGTTATGGTAGTGTGACTTATTGTCAGCCTCATGACAATATATATATGGCAGAGGTGTACAGTGCCTGTCTTGCAGTCTAAATCCAATGTATTTCGTAGTTTTTCTGATCCATGATTAGCACAATGTCATTGTTAAGTAAAATGAGGAGATTGTTGTTATTGAGAAGATCTCCACTCTAGAGATAGGTTATCTCTAAGTAAGTGGTGGGAATCACTGGGTTATTTTCAGAGTCATGTACTTGTGAGTACAGAAGAGGAGGTTACAGCAGATCAGTGTATGGATGTGAGATGGTGCAGGAATGAGTGGTTTAGATTTCTGATACATTGGGACCAGTCCTGGGGAGGTGGGACATATACAGGACAGATAAGTTGTAGCTGAACAGTGCTGAGACATGTCTTTGCTGGGCAGTTTGCTAGTGAGGAGACTGAAACTCATCCTTGCCATTCAGAAAAAAAAAAAGTCTGGCCATTTGTTCAAACTATGTTAATACTGATGCCAGACGACCTCATTATGAATGCTTAGCTGAATTCCACTAATGGGTAATGGACTCAGATTAGCAGGGGTATGTTTATTCAGTTTGGAGAGGAATGCAAGCTTTTATTAATTGATATGTTTGTTACCATGTAATGAATTTTTCTTTTTCATCTTGTTTCCCAATGCTTACTTGTTTATTTGCACAAAATCATGAGATGTGAAGTGAATCATAGTTGTGTTCATTGATTCTGTCAATAGCTGTAGTTAATTGACACTTTTATGAGGTCTCAGGTGATCAATCTTTTTCAAAAGGAGATTTTCAAAAACTCTTTGCTTGTTGTCACAGTTTCAGGAGCATTTCTAAGACTTGCTGGACTTGCTAATGACTCATTGATTCTATACGTTGTGGATACTGGGTTAATGGTGGGTATGAAGAATTCTTGAGGACATGGAAGGGGCCAGGGGAATATGGAGAGGATGCAATGAAGCATGAGGAATATGAGAGGGCATTGCAATAATTTTTAAACTAGCCTGTCTAATGGTTCTCGAGTCCAGCACAATTTCTCTAACAGTTACTGAATTGACTACTCTCAAGTACTTGGGGTACTTGAAATGTCACAACATATAAGGTTATGGACCTCGTGTGGGAATGTGGGAGTAGTATTTTTTGGCAGTTTGTATTTGATGGGCCAAACTGTTTGATTCAGAATTGCATGATTCTTTGATTCAATCTGGGCTCCCACAGTCTTCAAGAATCCACATCGCTTCATAAAGATAGCAAAAGCTAGGAGATTTGAATTTCCAGAAGGGATATAAATTGCAAACTGCTGTGACATTTAGTGAACATCAGGTTGTGATTCACCACATGTTCCAATCTGACAAAAGTAGAGACTCAGATAAATTGTCTGAGAAACTCAAAATTGTAGCATCAAATACCTCTACTTTGGATTAGAGTTATAGAGATTTTGCAGCTTGGCAAGATGACCTTTGGTCGATTGTGTCTGTGCCAACCATCACCCATCCATCTATTCTAATCCTAACTTTCCAACACATGGCATATAGCTTGGTATGTGATGGCATTTCATGTACTCATCTAAATAATTCTTCAATGTTTGAGAGTTCCTGGCTCCACACTCCTGTCAGGTAGTGAGTCCAGTCATTTTATTTTCCCTTAAGTCCCCTCTAAATCTTTTGCTTCTTATCTTAAAATTGTACACTCTGGTTACTGACCCGTCTATTAAGGGGGAAGTTTTCTCCCTATCTATTCTGCCTCTGGCCCTCAGAACTTTGTAGACTTCAATCATACCTCCTCAGTCTTCTGAGGACAACAACCCCAGACTGTCTAGCCTCATTTCATAGCTTTATCGTTCTATTCTCTCCTGCACCCTCAAATGCAATCACCTCCTTCCTGTAGTGTGGCAATCAGAACTGCGCACAGTACTGCAGCTGTGACCCAACTAATCTTACATACAGCTCCATCATAACCTCCTTGACTAATAAAAGCAAGTATCCCATATGTCTCTTTAACCACCTTAGCTACCTGTACTGCTAACATCAAGGATCTATTGACAAGCACACCAAGCTCCCTTTGATCCTCTGTACGTCCTAGGGTCCTACCATTCTACTTCTTTTTCTTGCTAGTGCTCTCAAAATGCATCACCTCATATTTGTCAGGATTAAATTCTGTTTTCCACTGTTCAGTCTATCGACAATGTCCTATAGTGTCCTTTCCCCCTCGCCTATATACAGCACCACAATTTTTTGTGTTGTCTGCAAAGATACTGATCATACCTCCTACATTCATGTGTAGATCTTTAAAGTATAGTACAAACAGCAAAAGATCCAGCACCAAACCCTGTGGTACATCACTTGACAAAGGCTTCCAATCACAAAAACACCTTCAACCATTACCCCCTGCTTCCTGACACTGGGGCAATTTTGGATCCAATTTTGTACATTGTCCTGAATTAGCTTCCTAACCAGAATACCATGCGAGTGAGCCATGATCTTTGACTGCTTCTCCTTCCCTGACAGAACACCTTGCAGTTGTTCAGGGTCAAGCTTGACCCAGGCCTCAGGGAGACAACAAACCATCCTGGAGTCACGTCAGTGGCTGCAGAAACTCCTGTCTGTATTCCTCCCTAGTGAACCTCTTACCAGTGTTGTTCTCCCTCTTTTTATGCTCCTACCTTCTCCACACCCCAACCTTAAGTTTACCTGGACCATCTCTAACACCTCTCTCCCCTTCCTGGACCTCTCTGTCTCCATATCGGGCAACCACCTAGAAACCGATATTCATTTCAAGCCCACCGACTCCCACAGCTACCTAGAATACTCCTCCTCCCACCCACCTTCCTGCAAAAATGCTATCCCTTATTCCCAATTCCTTCGCCTCCGCCGCATCTGCTCCCAGGATGAGGCATTCCACTCCCGTACATCTCAGTTGTCCTCGTTTTTCAAGGACCGTAACTTCCCCTCCTCGGTGGTCGAGAACGCCCTCAACCGTGTCTCCCACATCTCCCGCACCTCATCCCTCACACCCCGTCCACGCAATAAAAACCAAAAAAGAATCCCCCTCGTCCTCACGTACCACCCCACCAACCTCCGGATCCAACGCATCATCCTCCGACACTTCCGCCATCTGCAATCCGACCCCACCACCAAAGACATCTTTCCCTCCCCACCTTTATCTGCTTTCCGGAGGGACAACTCTCTCCGTGACTCCCTTGTCCGCTCCACACTCCCCTCCAGCTCCACCACACCCGGCACTTTTCCCTGCAACCGCAGGAAGTGCTACACCTGCCCCTATACCTCCTCCCTCACCCCCATCCCAGGCCCCAAGAAGACTTTCCACATCAAGCAGATGTTCACCTGCACATCTGCCAATGTGGTATACTGCATCCGCTGTACCCGGTGTGGCTTCCTCTACATCGGGGAAACCAAGCGGAGACTCGGGGACCGCTTTGCAGAACACCTACGCTCGGTTCGCAACAAACAACTGCACCTCCCAGTCGCGAACCATTTCAACTCCCCCTCCCATTCCTCAGACGACATGTCCATCCTGGGCCTCCTGCAGTGCCACAACGATGCCACCCGAAGGTTGCAGGAACAGCAACTCATATTCCGCTTGGGAACCCTGCAGCCCAATGGTATCAATGTGGATTTCACAAGTTTCAAAATCTCCCCTCCCCCCACCGCATCCCAAAACCAGTCCAGCTCGTCCCTGCCTCCCTAACCTGTTCTTCCTCCCACCTATCCCCTCCTCCCACCTCAAGCCGCACCTCCATCTCCTACCGACCAACCTCATCCCGCCCCCTTGACCTGTCCGTCCTCCCTGGACTGACCTATCCCCTTCCTAACTCCCTACCTACACTCACCTTTCCTGGCCCCATCCCCGCCTCTTCGACCTGTTTGTTTCCTCTCCACCTATCCTCTCCTCTATCCCTCTTCTATCCGCCTCCCACTCTCTCCCTATTTATTTCAAAACCCCCTTCCCCTCCCCCTTTTCTGATGAAGGGTCTAGGCCCGAAACGTCAGCCTCTCTGCTCCTATGATGCTGCTTGGCCTGCTGTGTTCATCCAGCCCTGCACCTTGTTGTCTCGGATTCTCCAGCATCTGCAGTTCCTACTATCTCTATTAATACTCCTGTGACTTCCGGAGGTTTCTGCTTTCTTTAAGTATCCTTTGGGCAACTTCTGGTTCCAAGGTGTCTACAGAATGATGTGAGTTCTCAGCTTTTGCACTCACAGGCTCTTTCTTGATGTGGGTGTTCTGGATAATGATGAACTCCTACAATGAACCTGTTTCAAAGGTGCGGTAAATCAGCAGGGATATACAGAACTCCCACTTTTCCAGAACACCATCCCAAAGAGGTGACTCACCTCAAGGCATCAGAATAGAAAGAAGAATACAAAAAGCAGTAGGAATTACTAAAGCAACCCATGTGACTGGAGTCCAATGTCATTGTAGAAGCCTGAATCTGGATAGTAAGATTGAATGCAGGGATTCTGCAGCACATTATGCAGTCTTTCATTTCTACTATTCACAGCAGATTGTTTTCATGAGATTCAGTAGCTTGTAAAATTTTATGTATTTTCTTTTGGTGTTCAGGTGGACAGTTATTATTGAGATAGTTAGCTTGGGAATCCCAGGCCCTGCTTCCATTTCCCCTGATTGAAACAGTGATAGAATCTGTGCACGGGTAAAACTCATCAGCCTAGAGTTACCTGGCCTATCATCACTTTCCTTGTAATATGATACAAATGTAATTTTGTTACTGTTTGCCCGAAAATCATGTTCTCATGTTTTCACAGCCTCAGAACCAAATTTGAAGGTGCGTTCCAAGTTAAAACAGAAAGTGGCAGAGAGGAGGAGTAGTCCATTATTGCGCAGAAAAGATGGCATCATTATCAGCACCTTCAAGAAGAGAACACTTGAAAGAACAGGTAGTTGGGAAGAACATAAGGCTGTTCATAAAAGCTAACATTGCTCTGTACGGGTGTCTTCAATGCACCCGTAATCTTGCCTGTTCCTTAGTTTAGCACAATGATACAAATAACTCTAATCAACTAATTGGAGCAGTTCCTGCCATAGAATCAGTTGTATTGCTAACTATGAGAATTAATTGTATATGGGAAATGGAACAATGTAAGTGTAGACATTTAAAACTTAGGGGGAAGTGCTGGCATAGTGGAAATGTTACTATACTAGTAATCCAGTGATCTAAAAACCAGCTCAATGTCTGAGGATTTAAGTTTGAATCCCACTTTGGCAAATGATGAAATTTGATTTGGTAAAATCTAGAATTAAAAGTCATTATTATAAAGACCCATTTGGTTTATTAATGTCCTTTAAGGAAGGAAATCAGCCATCCTTACCTCATCTGGCCTCTGTGACTCCAGACCTCCGTAATGTGCTTGTGCGTAGAGAACTGTCCAGTTCAAGGGCAACTTGTGCAACAAATGCCAGCCTTGACAGAATGTCACATACATGGAAGGAAAAAGCAATGAAAGGAAAAAGCTTTTTTTTTATCTAAATGGTCATCATTTTGATTGATTAGTCTTTTCCCTACACATTTACTTCCCACTATATTTCTCAAACCACCCTGTCTCCAGAAATATATCTAATAATCTTCTAAAACTATTTATATTATTTTATTTTAACAGCCATCTCTGGCAACTTATTCCATAATTTTCCCTATCCTAAATTTAAGCAATCTTGCTTTACTTCCCTTTTTATTTCTAACTAACTATCATTAACTGATTTTCCCTTCTGTTTGAGTTTGTGGCTTGCGTGTAGAAATTTTGTTCATCTCCTTCAAGATTTTTAAACTTCAATTAGGATTTTCTAAATGCAACTATCTTCTAGATGTTTTTCATACAAATTCCTTCAATTTTACTCACATCATCAATGATAGTATAGTTTGAGATTCCTTGAAAAGTGGATCCATGTCTTGACTAAGTTTTTAAGAGGAATGGTAAAGAAATCTCAGATGGTAGGAAGCACAATCATTTGGCTGATCAGCCTTTTAAATATCAATTGGAGTGTTACACCTTTCCATTCGTGAATAATATTGAGTATGGAAAGCCAGGAGGTTTAAAGTGAATTTAGCCCTGCTGTACAAAACGGTGGTGTAGTGACAATATCACTGGATGAATAATTCAAAAGACCAACCTGGGGATGCAGGTTCAAATCCCAGAATGGCAGCTGGTGAAATTTAAATTTAAAAAATAAGTCTGGATTTGGAACGTGGGGAAAATTGACCATGAGTATTATTGATTGTTATAAAGTTCATGCCCTTTCTGTCATCCTTATTTGGATTGGTGTAGATGTAACTGCAGACTCACAGTAAGGTGGTCAATGCTACCCTCTGAAATGGCTGTGCAAACCATGCAAATCGAGGACAATAATGGATGGGCAGCAAAAGCTGCTGATATCCACATCCCTAGAAAGACAAAAAGGCAAAAAAAGCAAGCCTAAGAAATAGGTGCATGATTTGGCTAAAAAGCCCTTCAGACTGACTCTTCCATTCAATAAAAACCAAAAGAACTGTGGATGCTGTAAATCAGGAACAAAAGCAGAAGTTGCTGGAAAGCTCAGCAAGTCTGGTTGCATCTGTGAAGAAAAAAATCAGAACTTTTTGAGGAAGGGTCACCGGACCTGAGACGTTAACTCTGATTTTCTCTGATTTCTCTTCACAGGTGCTGCCAGACCTGCTGAGCTTTTCCAGCAACTTCTGTTTTTGTTCTGGACTCTTTCATTCACTTGCTTTGATTCGATTTGATTTATTTGTTGGCACATTTTTTTTGTTACAAAGTACACAGTGAAAGTGTCATACAGTGCGTTTATTTGCATCATAACTGAACTCCTAAATAAACTTTTCTATCCTATCCCAATTTTCCCTGATTCATTTAGTCACCAAAATCTATCAATTTCAATTATGACTATACTTGACAGCTGAGCACCTTCAGTTCCCTTCGAGAGGTTGATAGTAGCTGAAAAGAGAGAACTATTAATTGTAACAGGGGACTTCTGAGCCAGGAAGGGAACTTAGGTAGTGAGTTATCTCGAGGTAATATAGCAGAAGGTGGTTAAGATGAGTTTGAAGAGGGCATGCAGGGAGGTTAGAGACAAACCAAGAAAGTTATGCAAATTCAGACCTAGTGCAGGAGAGAACCATGGGGGAATTTGAGACTGGTAGGATAATGGATGGTGTTGTATTAAATCTCACAGTCAGTATGCATTGACAAGAAATTCTCATGACATCAACACAATATTATAGCGTGGGGCCGAAGGGTATAAAATTGCATATTTCATCTTATTTCAGATCATTTGAAGTATGACATGCTGTTGGAAGTCAGCTGTTTAATGCTGCTCTTTTGCAATCTAATGTTTGTGTACAAACATGAGCTGTAATAGACATCTGTTGGATCCTTGAACATTGCAACATCCATGTCCAGTTTCTTATGTTACAAGGGATAACATTAGCATTGCTGCATCACGTAAAATATGCTGCTGAAGGCAATCACATCAGATGGTAGGGATGTTGCAGAGGTTGTTGGTCGGATAATTTTGATCTCAATGACAGAATTTCCAGAAAATGTTACTCCTTATTTTTGAATTTCACATTCTAATTGAGCATATTTGATAACTCTACTGCTAGTGTGGAATAGTAAATTATAGAATACTAATTTATTGTCACTTGTGGTTTTCATAAAAGAAACAGTGAAAATTGTTTAAGTTGCAATACCATGGTGCCTTTATTAATAATAGAAGGCATAGATAAGAAACAAAATTAAGATGTAGTCCATCTTAGCTTAATACACGGCTCCTGGGTTCGGGAAAAGATTTGCAGAAAGCTGAAGAAGCCGTCACCAAAAGTGAAGGCCCACAACACTGCCACTGGAATCTTGGGCCACGAGACTCCACAGAATCCCAAAGCCTCCCCAAGGGCCCACTTTGTCACCGATCCCAGGCCGGAAGATGTCAAAAGCCACCCAAAAGAACCCCGGGCTGCCAGATGCTGGGCCAAAACCCACCTCATCACTGAAACCAGAATTTCAGGCCAAGCCGCCAAAGACGCTGAAGCAGACCACCACTGGACTTGGCCATAATGGCCATGAGGAACCGCCATCACTACCAACAATAACAACTGACACAAACATTCCTCCTCTTCCCAAGCCACCAATGAAAGGTAAGGTAAACATTGATGTTAAAAATAATAAATGCAAAAAAAAATAAGAAGTATGTGACAGACCTGGAAATCGGAAACAGACAGGTTCAAGAGCCTTCCGACCCTGCCGCTGCCATCTTGGAAAAAACATCAGAAGGTCATAAGTTGAACTCTCGCTCCAGAGACCTGAGTGCGGAACCTATGTTGAAAGTCCAGACTGCTCTATTAGGTCGATGTAAAAGATCTCATACCATTATTGTGCCATTGTTGTGAGGAAGAGTAGAGGAATTCTTCCTGATGACGTGGCTGACATTTATCCTTCAACCAACTTTTGTAAAAACTATTGGGCTGAATTTGCACAACAGTGAAGAGCCTTTGGAGTGCTGGAATGTTTTCCTGTGCTCATGCAGTTAATTTGGAGGATCTTGCTATTCATGAGTAAGTTGAATGATTCCTGCCTTTTTTATGGCTTTTCTAGTTGAATACTGCGGAATGTGACGTTAATAAATGATTCCTGTTTCCTTAATAGCTTTACTGAATTCATCTTGCTCTTTGTGACTTTGTAAGACAATTCCTGTTCTTTTAATGGATTTCCCCAGATGATTCCCAATTTTTGTGGTGCTACTAACTTTGTAGAATCTTGCCGTGTGGTTCTCTCCAGTTGAGTCTTTGATTGTTTCAGCTCCTTCAGAGGTTGACTGTCTGCTTGAGCAGCTTTCTTCAATCTACATCTGAAGAACTTTCATTTTGTAAGCTGCAGCTAAATGCAGTATGCATCTCTTGCCACCATGTTGTAAGATAAATCCTTACCACAGTCCATCATGATGTAAAATCCATCTGGTTGATTTGCTATCACCATCTTATTTGTTCTGGAGAGAGCTCCAGACCTAATTCATCCAGCATGGTAGAGGAAGACCACAGTGTTGCCTAATAATAATAGGCTCTTGTACTAAACAAGATGTAGTTTATTACATGTTAGCAACTATGTACAAATTACATTGAAATGACTGACATTGATCACTGAGACTATGAGGAAGACCTTAGTGTTAAACATGGCTCCTTCAGGATTCAAAACTGTTCTTTTGCCTGAGTCCATATGGCATTATCATATTGAGGACCAGTAGCACTGGTTTTGTCAACATTAATTGGCACAGTGGCTCCGTGGTTAACATTACTGCCTCACAGCACCAGGGACCTGGGTTTGATTCCAGCCTTAGGCAACTGTCTGTGTGGAGTTTGCACATTCTCCCCATGTCTGCGTGGGTTTCCTCCAGGTGTGCCAGTTTCTTCCTACAGTTGAAAGATGTGCAGGTTAGGTGGATTGGCAATGCTAAATTGCACATATTGTCCAGGGATGTGCAGGCTAGCTGGATTAGCCATTGGAAATGCAGGGTTATGGGATAGGGCAGTGGTTCAAGTGGGATGCTTTTCAGAGGGTCGCTACGGACTCAATGAGCTGAATGGCCTGCTTCCATACTGTAGGGATTCTATACTTCTAATCCTTTCAGACCTTAAATGCTTATACAAGAATTTCAACCCTGTTTTCACAAAGGTCCATATTTGGAACAGGTCTGGCCCTTTCACTTCCACGGAAGGGTCTGTGATTAAATGGAGTAGTCTCTAAGGCTGCAGTAAGAATTCCAGTTCACCAATCATGATTGGCCCTCATGGAGGCCCTATTGCTGAAATCATGTTCCTTACTTGACTTTAAAATGTTCCAGATATGAGGGAAGTAAGTAATACTGATTACAATGTCAAAATTCTGGAGCTATT